CCTCGACTTCCCGGGCTCAAGTGATCCTCCTGCCTCAGCCTCCCACGTAGCTGGGACCACAGCATGTGATTGCATGCCATCGCATCCTGTTAATTTTTGTATTTTTTGTAGATATGAGGTTTCACCCTGTTGCCTAGGCTGGTCTGAAACTCCTGAGCTCAGGTGATCCACCTGCCTTGGCTTCTCAAAGTGCTGGGATTATAGGTATGAGCCACCATGCCTAGCCCCACAAATTTTTATATGGTGCATTTTCACTATCAGTTAGTTCAAACTATTTTCTTTTTCCCATTGATTTCTTCTTTAACCTATGGATTATGTAGAAGGGTGTTTAATGTCCAAACATTTGTGTGTTTTCTAGGTACTTCATTGTCAGTGATTCCTAATTTCATTTCACCAAAGAACACATTGTGTATGATTTTGATCCTTTGAAATTCACGGATGCTTTTTTTATGGCCTAATATGTGATCTGTCTTGAATATACCATGTGCACTTGAAAAGCACGTGTATTTTACAGTTGTTGGGTGCATTATTTTGCAAAATATTAATTTTATCAAGTTGGTTGCTAATCCATATATCTTCATTGATATTTTTTGTCTTTTTTTTTTTTTTTTGCCAGTTGCTGAGAGATGGATGTTAAAAATCAAGGCCAGGACTACAGTAAAGCTGAAATCATTGAAGTCCTTGGAGCAGAACTGAAAGAGGTACTTACTAACTTTTAGGGTTGTGTAAGTGCAGTGTTGTTTGAAGCTCTGTGTGTGTTTCTGTAAAGACTGGTCTGGAAAACAGACCAGGGGAAAACATTTCTTTGCTTTTCTGCTCCGCTCTCACATGAAAACAACAAACACAGTAAGAGTCAACACCAAAGACTTCAGTGACCCCCAGATATGTGGCGATTTCCCCTACCAGCAAGCAAGCAAGCAATCAGTTCTGCAGCAGACACCAACTGCGTATCCTCCAATTTAATTCTGATACTATCTGGCTGGAAATAGCATCAGATCCCTCAGGCTGAGGGCTCAGTCCCTAAGACTGGCATCTCTTCAGACACCAGTTGCAAGTCCGGGCCTCTAGAACTTCTGACCAACCGGGCTTCAAGTTGGCGTTCCCAGACATTTACAGTGGCTCATGGCTGGAGGATCACTTGAGGCCAAGAGTTCAAGACCAGCCTGGGCAACGTAAGACCTGTCTCAAGAAAATAAAAAGTAAAATTAGCTCGGCATGGAGGTACAAGTCTGCGTAGTCCTAGCTACTTGGGAGGCTGGGGTGAAAGGATCACTTGAGTCCAGGAATTCAAGGTTACAGTGAGCAGTGATCTGTGCCATTGCACTCCAGCCTGCGCAACAAAGCGTGATCCTGTCTTAAAAAAAAAAAAAGAAAAAAAAAGATGGGGTTCTCACAACTCCCTTTTTGGGTTCAATTAATTTGCTGAAGTGGCTCACAGAACTCAAGGAAACACTTATGTTCGCTGGTTTAATATAAAGGATATTACAAAGGATATAGATGAAGAGATGCATTGGGCAAGGTATGGGGAAGGGGCATATTGTTGGAAGCACAGAATAGGCAAGACTCCAGAGAAAGTTTCTCTTCTCTCCCCACTTCTTGCTGCCATTGTCTGTTAAGTTTGAGCCACAATAGATGGATCTCATTCTCCTTTTCCATTTCCCTCATATTTGTCATGGCCCTTTTGAATCCTGCCATTCAGTGTTCTGATTTTCACAGTGCTGGGGGTCATCAGTATGTTCCTAAGGTGGAATAGCACTCACTTCAGACCAAGGATGACAGAGGTGTGGGGAGCAAACATACACTTAGAGGATAGGGCAGACCAAGTGAATGACAACTCTTTCCATCACACCCACCCTCAAATCATGAGGTACT